AAAAATAATAATTATAAAAAAAATGTATATTATGTGAAAAATGTTTACTGTGTATTTATATATAACATCTCTAAAGGTATTTTTCGAGTAAATAAAGATTTTTCTTTCTTTCAAATATATTGAGTACGGCCCATCTGATTAAAAAGTGCTTAGATTATCAATTAAAGATACATTTTATTCGAAACATTTTTTCATATCACCGAAAATATTGAAAAAATTTTAAATGTTCCTTAATTTTCTCCATTACGCTCCATTTTATGTAAATCATTTATGTGACAAAAATTATTGACAAACAACTGTGTTATTGAAGGAATTTTCTTCTATAATCATAAATAACAAATATAAACCTTTTAAGTGGAAAAACGCTCCCCTCTCCCCCCCTACAAAGTATCCCCAGATTAAATTTAACCCTTTGTTGTCTGACGGTACTCCTAAGTACCGTCATTTTCGATCCTCAATATAATTACACGGAGAGGGCTTGGGTGCTTTATAGCTTGACGGTACGTGGACGTACCATGAATATTGCGATAGACAAGCTCGGATTGAAACTGACCGTGCATCGTTGCTGACAGTTTAGTTGTCTTCCTACCGACGTATAGTGAGGGAGCATAAAAATAAAGTTGAGCCTTTCGTGTTATTGTTTTGTACTGTATATTGAAAAGTAAGTATATATTTTTGGTACATTGTAATGAAAGACGTTTTATAAATATAATCTTGCAAGTTTCATTTAACAATTTGATACCAAATGTTATAAAATTTAACTTTTCAATTCCAGAAGATATGAGGTTGGCTAACCGAGGAAATCATTGGCTAATCTATGAACAAACTAGAGGTCGGTGTGAAATGTGCAGTCGCAAAAATGTGCAATCTCGCCCACATTCCAAATGCAACCTGTGCAATGTATATTTATGCTGCAACGAGAAAAAAACTGCATGGCAGAATACCATGAAATCAAGAACTAGTTCTTATTTTTTATTTGTTTTAATTATTTTTTAAAATTAAAAATAAATATTTGCAAATCAAATTAAATTTGTGTGTCTAATCCATAATTTTGTTGTCAAATAAATGTTTGTAACTGCCTGACGGTACTTATTGGTACCTCGATTGGTACCGGTTATTAAAAAAAAACTGACAAAGAAAAAATTCAAAAAAATTAATTTGAGTATTTTTTATTCATATTGGATCAGCTGTTCACTAAAAATAGGTTTTTTTTTGTTTTATTCTTAGTCCAGGCAACAAGGGGTTAAAATTTGGTGATTTTCTCTTTATCCGTTTTTAAGTTATCGTGTATACAGACAGACATTGCGAAAATGGTCAAAACGGACCCCAAAACGTAAATTTCCGTTAAAAACTCAACATAGAAAAAATAATTCCTATAGTTTCCTTAGTGAATACAGGAAAATAAAAAGTGGAATGTACAAAATACACTGCTCAACAATTGAAGTGGATATTTAAAAAAAAATTATTTGTCAATAATTTAAAATAAAATTAAAAAATCATGTAACATAGAAAACATTTTATTGATTATATGTATAACTGAAAAGAAAAACCATTTAATTGAAAATTACAGGAAAATTGAAAAAAATGAAAAAGTAACAACAAAAAATTCTTGCATTGCGCACTTTACAAAATCCCTATAAAAAAATTAATATCTTGTTGGACCTCCCCTGGCTCGGCTTAGTGCTGTCACTCTATTTGGCATGCTCTCTATTAAATTATTGATAAATTGCTGAGGTATGGATTCCCAAATTATCTGCAACTCATTACCCAATTGTTCTAAGGATTGGGGAGGCTGTTGACTTCGGTTTAATCGCCTAGACATTTCAGCCCAAACATGCTCGATACAATTCATATCTGGTGAACAGGGTGGCCAATCCATTCTTGTAATTCCATGATGTTCTATGCGATCGTTTACAATTCTCGCCCGATAAGGACGAGCATTATCGTCAATAAAAACAAATCGTTCACCTATTGCACCAAAAAATGGTACAATTATCGGCTCTACAACCCTGTCCCGATATCGTATGGCAGTCATTGTCTCATTAGTTAAGACCACTAAATCAGTGAGACCATTATAACATATGCCTCCCCAGACGCAAACTGATCCACCACCAAAAAGAGTTGTTCGGGCCATTAAATTTTCATTGTATCGCTGTCCTCTTTCTCGCCATACCAATATTCGGCCATCACACGTATACAAACGAAATCTGGACTCGTCGGTAAAGAGGCAGTGCCTCCAATTTTGAAAAGTCCAAAAACTGTGTTCTTCCGCCCACCGATATCGGTATGCACGCTGCTCCGCCGTCAGTCTTGGGTGTGTTGCGCGACGTCTAGCTCTTAAGTTACATGCATGCAACCTTTTTCTGATAGTTTGACCAGATATTACTCGTCCAGTAGCTTGTCTAAAGAAGGTGTTAATTCTTGAAGCCGTATATGTTCGGTTTCTTCTCGCAGTCAGGACTAAAGGGGTCTTGAGCACGAGTTGTAGCTCGTTCTCGTCCTCCCCCATGTGTGTACGCTGCAGATCCAGTTGCTTGATACTGATTCCAAGCACGACTTACGACACTCTGAGACACATTCAGCCGCGTGGCGACTTCTTTTTGGGACAAACCTTCCTCTATCTAACGCACTAATTACTGCAGTTGCACTGCCTCTAATCGTCGTAGCGGCATATTCTTTACTCGAATATGCAAAATTATTGATAAAAGTAACATAACAAAGTAAGAATAAGCTCTTCTGCACAACTGATACTCTACGATTTTTAAACAACCTTCCTGCAATTTTCGTGAAAGAGATAAGAGCATTGACAATGAACAATAAACATGCAAAAAATAATCGCTGTGAATACGGTTTATTGATAATACAAAAAAATTTTTTTTAAATGTTTACATATAAATTTCAGGATTTTACCATTATCCAGTTCAATTGTTGAGCAGTGTAGATCTTACAACCAGGTCCAATGACATGGGGGTGTTGGCAGGGGGAGCAAAATCCCGGGAACCGGGCTCAGGGAGGGCCCAGCAGCTTTAGAGAGTACTCACCGCTAGTTGTATAATAATAGAGCGAAGAAATAATAGATATTTTTATGTAGGCCTAGATAATAGTTTATATTAGCCTATTCGTTTAAAGTTCACGGTGACATAAAAATAATATTGTGAAACAGAGGAAGTTATTCTAATCGGCGGGTGAGTCAAAATATAAAAGCTAAGCTATGTGGAGTCGGAAGACCTAGAGATAGGGGCCCAGGTCGGCCCATCGCCCAGGTTTTAGGTGTGTTCTAGTATTAAGAATGATGAATTTTTCTCAGCTGCTACACCACAACTGTAACAATTCGAAAAAGAAATTACGGTTCTTTACAAACATGTTGATAGCCCAAGAGCCCACTGCAAATTTTTACCGTCATCTGATAACGAAATGAAATATATCCCAAAAGCATGGAAAAACATTGTACTTTACCAAATGGCACCTGTGCCAATCCAAATCCTGAGCAAAGTGACTTAAAAAAAATATTTTATATTAAAAAAATCACATAAGGCATGACAGCGCTAATTTTGTTTGCCCTTAAAGTTTTCCAGAAAATAACATTCAAATATATCTTGATATATATCGTTAAAGAGAAACATTTTCTTCCTCTTAACATCGCACAAAAACATCTATCCACGATTAGTAGGTAAAAATAATTAAAAATATGAATCAATTTTTGCTGATTTAAAAATTTATTTGTATGCCTATTGTTGTGATTAATTTTGACAGGTTGCCATAGAAACGACAAAAAAACTACTATGATTATGGTTTTAAATAATTATCTAACAAGAGTTTATAATTATTATTGACTATCTCTGCAAATGGTTTTTACAATGCCATCCTTCTTCCTTTCACACATAAACATGGTTTAAAAGGTAGGTAAAAATATTAATAATTCAGGTTTAAAAGCTAGGTTCACAATAAATTAGGATTATAATTTTCAGGGAAAACACAATTGTCGTTGTCATGTCTTATGTGATTTTTTGAATCTAAAATAATTTTTTTTAACAACTTTGCTCAGGATAAGGATTGGCACAGGTGCAATTTGGTAAAGTACAATGTTGTTACATGCCTTTGGAGCATATTTCATTTCGTTATCAGATGACGGTCGAAATTTGCAGTGGGCTCTCATGCTATAAGTACCTAATTAGTAAGTACACTCGTTTTAGTATAACATGAAGGGTTTATAGGTAGATTACAATATGTGGGGAAGGGTCCTTGCCAGTATTTAGCCCCGGGGCCCACCATGGCTCTCGGCGGCGCTGCTTACAACTGATCGGCTGTTCAAACTGACCTCCCTTATTCCGCCCTTAGCCAGACCAAAACAGAACGATTTACTTCTTTTGTATTGTTAATTTTTCATGTATTTATTGTGTGCACATGTTCTTATTTTTTCTTCCCAAAACTTAGGAACCCAATGGGTTGTAATTAGGATGTTCGAAATATATAAAATTCCTTTCCGAAACTCTGAAATGTTCCATTGATTTTTTTTTTTTTTTTTTTTTTTTTTTTTTTTCAAAAAAGGTTGAAATTATCAAGTTTAAACTTATATAACAAAATTACTAAAAAGTTTCGTCAAAAAATATGTGCCCCAATTTCATCAGGAATAACACGTGTGGCGTCCCCCTGTAAGAAATTGTAAAATAATAAATAAAATAATATTCCTTTTCTAAAGTTATGCCTCTTTGCCAATTTTGATAAAGATTTATGAATATGTTAATTATCAAAAAAAAAAAAAAAAAATATATTTCAATTTGTAACACCTTGTATATTTTTCCACAGTAACATTTTATTAATGCATGTTTGATCCAATCTTCATATTTATTTTGGTTTAAATAACCTGTGTTTACTCTATGTTCCATTAGTTATGACTCACCCTGTATAAATCCGCAAGACATAAATACTGCTCTCCTTAAAAGCGTCCACTAGGTTTTAATGTCGATAATTTTTATCTAAAAATATTTTTTTCGCTTTAGGTGTTGTTCTGTTGAACCAAAAAGTCGTCCTACCTTCTGCGAGAACGTTCACGCGCTTGGCGATATTCTGAAGGACATGAAACGTGCAGAAGACAAGAAGGCCAGATTAGCGAATTGTGCAGCAAAAAGCGAAGAACAGCTGCCGCTACTTTCCGTACAATCTTGCGCACCACAACATCGAAAAAGTATGTATGAGTGTTCCAAAATGGTTCTTTTTCTTGATTCCTGTGGTGGTTTTTATAATCGGTTCTATAGTATCTGTGAGCAGGTTTTTTGAACGTTATGTATGTTAGAAATAAGTTGCGAATATTTGTATTTTTTGGCTCTAATTTGTATTTAATAAATTTGTTTAGTTTTGTATCTTTGAATTTTTATTAAATCAAATTTAGGTGTAACGAATACAACGTTCTTTTTCTCACTGATGTTTTGTCCAAGATATCAAGTCAAGTTTCCGAGATTTGAGACAAACTAAATAGATCGATTTTCTTTTTTGGCTGCGGTGCCTTTGTAAAATAGTATGCAGATTTTTGATTGACTCTAAATAGAGTTTACGTTTCTTTAAGTGAGTTTTCAATCCTATGTTTCATGTCACCATCAAGATTATTTTTTAAATACTAACCTGTACTTTTTATTTAATTTTTTGACGTTTCCATATTATAAATTTTGAGTAGGAGTAGCTTATTTATACATATTTTGAAAAAAATTAAATTATAGTTTATTTGAAAATGAATGATAGCACAGTTTTTATGGCAAAGGTGTATATACAGGTTTGTTCAAAGCAGAAAAAAAGTAAATATTGATACCTTCTTATCTAAATTTTCACTAGATTTTAGTATGACCACCCCGAAAAGCTTCGAATGCAATACATCATAAAATGTAAATGAGCAAATCCTAAGGGATTAACCAATAATTCTATACCTCAGTGACAGGGAACACGAAATTAATATAAAAATAGTGAACTGTTAATATTAAGTACCCACATTTATTTTTATAAAAATAGTATACTAGATATTAGGTTAGGACATTTCCTTAAAATTTCAATAATAAATATACATACAACCAAATTTATATGATATATTAAAAAAAATCTGCAAAAAAATCTTTTCTCATAAAACACTCATATTTCGTTTTTAGAAATACGGGGTGATTTCATATAAATTTGTTTGTATTTCGGGTACTAGCGTCATATAAACTAAATATAGAGTTACATAACTAAATAAGTCATTTTCTCCCGTCATTTTCTCATTTCCCACAGCAGTAATAATTGGTTTTATTGTTTCCTCTATTAACATATCAAGTTTCTAGAATTTCTTTTCCTTTGCTATGACATGTCTTATAGCGTTTTGTCAATTGTCTGGTGAAATTTTTGATATGGAGTCACATAATAGTTGTCGAACATCTTAACGTTTAGATGTTTTATTGTTTCTCGCTACATATCTCTTCATTTGAGCCCAGATTAGTTTTAGTAGGGTTAAGTTAACAGTGTTAAAGTGGTAACTGCAACACTTTAACTCCATGTTCTTTTACTATTTCATCTACCCTATACTTCTAAATTTTGATGAATGTTGTTTACATAACTGCAATAGCTATTTTTTTAGTAATCCCTCTTCTGCCACTATTTCTTTGGTAATTAGCCAGTCGAAGAGTTCTTGCTTTTTCCATTTAGTGTTAGGTAATGGTTCCTTTAATTTTGAATGGTAACTGGCATTGTCCATAATTATTAGAGAATTGGTCAGTAATAAATTTATTATTTGACTGAAATATTCCTCAAACACATGAATTTTAAAATTACTTTTAAATTGTTGTGACTGTTTGAAAGTAAACATTTTATATTTTTATACTTTTATTATTAATATGATGTTGTATATTTGTAATTAACTTTTAATTTATATTTAACATTTTTAAAATGTTTTGTTCATGTAATTTTAGTATTGCTTTATTATATTTATAAGTGTTTGTCTAAAAGTTGTAGCTTTGATAGTGGGTTACACTACTATTTTTTTTTCTAAGCTCCTCGTTTGCAGCGTTTACTTTATTTCAGAATAATATTTTGTACATTCACCCATTCAATTAAATGGAATATTACACCAAACCTTTTCCAACAAAAGATGAGAACAAGTTGAAATGTTTATATTTATCAGTAGATTATATTTATATAAAACACCGTTTGAACACGTATCATTTTAATTTTAAATGTCAGAGCTTATCTTTCATTCTTGTCAGAAAGCATGTTAAAGTTTGCATCACTATGCAGTTCATCTATTAGGCTATTAAAATCATTGCACAATTCACATTTTATTAGCCATTGCCAATTATTATTATTGGTTAATAATTTTATGTTGTAACGAATTTATTCTATATTTAAAATATGAGATTTTAATTGTGCCACAGCGCTAAGACAATCTTTCATTAATTACATGATTTATTGTTCCTCTCAAATAACGGGGAAACAGCCAGATTTTCAATTTTTTAAATTTATTTTCATTGTTAATCACTTATTCTAATCACAACACCATTATTTTGTTTCAGTCACTCATCGGCGGTCTTTATCCGAGGACTCATCGGTGCTGTTGTTGTCGATGTTTCCGACACCTAGCGACAAAGCTCGTCGACATGCTCTTCTCATGTGTCGGCAAGATCCTCACTACAAACCGAGCACTACCAATCCCTTCGCCGCTCTCGTCCAATTCCAGGGCGTGAAAAAGCTTCTCGGTAACTTTTCTTCCTGTTGCGAAATGCCTTGTGCGATCGTAGAAACGACTGAAACTCCGAAATCCTTACCGGGCTCCCCTACCGCCTCTCGTAAAGCGAGTACGGTAAGGTCGCAGCTATTCGTCCCCTTGTACAAAGGAGGGTCTAGTTCGAATTTATTAGAGTTTACGACTGAATCAAATGTCGGATTAAGACGCAGGGGATCGTGCGAATCGGGTTTTTATTCAAGCGTAGGTGAATGCCTGTCGCCGAACAGCCTTTGGGGCGACAGCGGGACCGCCGTTAGTTCGCTAAGGTCCCTCGACGAATTAGAACATGCAGAGTTACAGGCATTGTGTAAACGCGCATCATCAATTTACACCGACAGCAGCGAAGATATATCCAGCTTAACGAGCTCCGACTTTCCTAATGACCTCAAACCTAATATATCTAGTATAGTAGACTATTTCGAAAGGAAAGGAGCCACTTTGAGGCATCCGGGCGGCGTTAGAGGTGGTCTTCAACTGAGTTCTAGGATTGCTACATTGAGGAGGTCTTTAGAAAAGCAAAATATGAGCAGTTTTAGTTCGGGGTCACATCTGATGCCGCAAAGGCCCAAATGTTCTAGGTTGGTAATTTGTGAGGGGGCGGTCAGGTCTAAATTACCGCTCTTTGATAAAAAGTAAACCAGGTTTTCGTTCTACTTTTGTAAAATTTCTGTAAATCTAGAACAAAAATTTTAATAAAAATGTATAAAAGACTGACAGATGCCTCTAAAAAGGTTGGTATTCCGCGACTTGAATTTGCTAGCAAGTCTGTAAATAATTCAATATTTTTCAATTATTGCAAAATACTTTGATATAGTAGTAGTAAAAATAACAGTAATCGTTTTAATACATATTCTGTTTTATATTCTTGATTACAAGTTCTGGCAATAGTGAGTAACAGTTGTAATACCATCTGTTGTTCTGGTTAACCCGGTTTCCTCATTCTGACCAAATCTTACATTTTTCTTTCTTGTATGAGCCACTTCCTGTCCTCAGTGTCTTCCATTCAGCAATTGTTCTTCAATAAATGCACATGTGCACTCCCAATTTGCAAGTGTGCATTCCCAAAGTATTAAATCACTTTTCCATCTGCTGTCCACAATAGCCTTTCAGATGTTTCCCAGCTTCTTTCAAAATAACCACTCAAGCAAACTTGTTTCGAGTTTTTCCATCTCCGACTTTCTTGCGTTCTTCAAGGCTCTTATTTCATCATCAGTTTTCGTTCTAGTCTTGATGTTCTTTCTATTTATTATAATGATCAGTATTCATCTACGGCACATATTTGTCTATTTCACAATATATTTTTTTGGATTTGGAAATTTAAGCCCCAATTCCCCCTACGAATTTTTAGAAATCATTCCCACAATCCCAAAGTGAAAATAAACCAAAGAAAAATTGAAAAAATTAAAAAGAAAAAATATGCCCAAGCCAGACATCGAATCTGAATCTCCCTATTTGTTTTTGTTCGAGATATTTTTGTGCCACCATAGGACGTCCTATTCTTTTTTTTTTTTCAACCTAATATTGATTTTTGAAATTTAACTAAAAACGTATCTTCTGATATTTCCAAGTCATACAAGGTTTGTCAACAACTTGGTCGCCTGCAAAATTTAAGACCACCAGAGCTGCAAAGAGTGCCTTCTAGCTGGGATACAAATTGAATAGCAGTTTTAGCCCATTCCTAACCTTAATGGACTGTGACTCTTTTTTACACAGGTATCAATAATAATTAATAATGGATATAAATAATTTTGTTCATAGATTATTACTATTATTTTCACCATACTATTGATCGCAAAGTATATACCAATATTTTGGATTACTCTATAATCAGAAATGCATCTTTATTTTTTTAAATTATTTTTCTTCTAGTCAGATTGTATCTAAAGTTTGGAGGCCTAAGTGATGATAAATTTCAAATTGTTTATATTTTGTACTAGATTGTATATACTTTTGGCAGAATTAATCTTATTAATGCTGCTTAACTGATGCAGACGAGCAGTATATCATAAAAATAGCATTAAAATGTTTGTTTCTTGAAGTATTAGCAAATAGAGTTTTCAAAACGCAAAATAAATTGTATATTTTCCAGAAATGTCGAACATCTTAGAGTTCCTATATAAGAACGGCATTTTGGAAATCATATTTATTTTCGTTAATTTGGCAACCAAATTTGCTAAAGCTGACATACCTACTTATGTACAAAATACTCCTTCAAACGCATCAGTTTTTGTGAACTGTTCTGTAACTGGCCGCTATAAATGCTTAATTTAGTTATTTTTGAGATTACATTATGAGTATTCCGACTTAGTTTTAAAAATAAAGTTTTTAGTGCAATTTGGTGTAACTTTATTTTTGTAGGAAAAAAAAATGTTTTATAAATTTTGATTAAATGAAAGTTTGGAATACTTAATTTTAGGCCACGAAGTGGTTTGCTATTTTTTCAATTGTGTATATAGATTGCGTTTAAATTAAAAGAGACTTTTGTTTGAAAATTTAATTACTAAAATAATTATTCTGAACTTTTATGTGATGGTATTAAAATGAAAATATCAAGACTGATACTATAAAGTTGGATAATTTGAAATTAACTGTCCATTAATATAATCCAACTGAGGCTACACATTTTTAGCAAATATTGTAAATTTTATTTTAAAAATGTGTAAACTAAAAAGGTATTTTAATGAATAAAAAATGGATATCTGGTATCGTGTGAAATAATATGTCCAGGGCACTTCTTTTTAACATGTTATATTATTTTCTTCAAAATGATAAATTATTATAGCTTTATTAAAACCCTATAATTTCACCTGTATAAATTGTTTATATTAAGTATTAAAAAACATATTTATTATTGGTTTTAGTATTATTATGTAAGATCAGACCAAGGTAACTTAATTATTTATATTGATTGTGTATTATAATTGATCTACTTTGGCAAAACCGAACTCCGTCTAATTCAGAATGATTGTACATTCTTTTAAACCAGTCCAGTATGAAATTAGTGACTTGTATATCTAAAATAATAGTGATCAATCTTACCAATAATTTTAATGACAATCTCCACCTTTTTGAACCATTTATATTCATACCCGTAATTTGAGCCACTTACCTTGTAATTCACACAAAATTGTGTGATGTTGAAAATGTTTTTACGAACTTTGGAAATTAATGATTTTAAACAAAGTTGTTATGAACAACAACTTGGAAAATTATTTGAATAACGCATAGAATATCGAAGACATAAAGCCATAAAATTTAAACTAATCTTTAATATATACAATATTATTTGATTTAAAAAAAAATTAAATTGTTTGTAATCGTCCCCATGTTTTATTTTGAATGCACCCGAAGATGGAAAAGTTTTCCGAAACATTTGTAGTGCTGTGCTAAACAACAGAAAATAAAAACGACCGAATAAACCAAGGAAATTTTTATTTTTATTAATATAATAAGCACTATCTTTGTTAAAACCAAGATAAAGTCAAATCAGTAGCTGAGAAAACAGTATGGGCCAATTTTTGATGTTTTAATCTTTCTGATGCATTCTAACACTTTTGTCTTTTGAGGTAAACCTCGATCCAGTGGTCACCACTATGACTTCATTACCATTATTATACTGTTTTTTATATGGCATTTCATATTTCTATTATAAGTACAATCTCTGCGATATTCTCTGCATTAATTAAATAATTTTTTAATTTGTATTCTGCATTTTCCTCTTTAAGTTTGCTGTTCATCAAGTTTCATTTTATTGTTTTTTTAGTTATTACCACTTAACAACTTAATGTTTAAAATTATTAATATTCAAAAGTTGGTGAAAACAATTTTAAAATTACCCACATGTAAATCTTTAAAGATAGGAAACGTCATTATAATAAATGTCGAATAGAGTTGGACGACATTTAATTAATAAAAAAGACTGGAAATGACACTAAATATGAGGTGAAGAATGAGATGAGTGTAAAAAAATAATTTTTCAAACAAAATTTCAAATGTTAAGATAAACATTGTTAATGTAGGTTGATGTTGGCTAATAATCTGGATGAAATAAACCATTAACTTAAGCCAGGCCGAAATCTCATTGTTACCCTGTATATCAAATAATTTCCTATTGGCATTAAAAGATGTCTACAATGAATGGAAATAAAAAAGACTTTAATACTTAGTACTCCGCATTGAAGGTATTTAAGAACTTTGGCTTGCATTTGACAATGCAGTTCAATACAAAGGTACTCGTTCGATGGTCGCTGCAAGCGGCTGAGACACTACCATTTTAATTAAATACTTTTATTAGAACAGTAGTGGGGTAATGTCTGCATTTTGTCTCGGCCGCTTGCAACTGCAGCATGTCTCTGCAGCGACCATCGAACGAGTACCTTAAATAAAGGTTAATAAATAAAATCAAGAACATGCTGCTTTTATCACAAAAACAATCAACGAAGAAACTTTTGAACCAGGATAGAATTTAATGATTGGTTAGCAGCCAAGTTTTATTAAATGAAATCACAAAATTTGCCTTTTTTTAACTCGTGAAAATTATTAGTTCTTACTTGTTCTAAAACCAGTATTAGCCGCCACAAATATTGTAATGAAAATATTACTACTTCAATCTCCATATACTGACAACTTTTTGCCACTGACTTGAAAAATAAATGTGCCAATTTATCAGTTTTACAAATTTTATTAATGACAATTCTGTATATTAGAAAACTTCAGATGAACTAAGTATTTTTTTTTTTTTCGAGATTGATAATTACGGCACTTTGGAATATTGTTTATTTCCCAATATTGACATTCAAATTTTTTTGGAATTTTCTTTATAACCGTGATATTTCTCCAATCACCATGTTTTCTATGTCTTGAATAGGCTACTAATGTATTAATATCAGTGGGTTAAATAGTGCATTTACATTTATGTGTGTATTTGCTTAAATTTGTATGGTATTAAACATACCATGCTATTATAACACTTTAGTTGCACCATTATATTGTACTATTGTATCCAAATACGATGGTTGTTTTTCTCAGGAACTAAAAAAAAATATCGTATGTAACGCTTCTTTTTTCGTATTCGTCGTGTTACAATCTTCACGCCGCATGCGAAAAACTCTTACTGTTTGCAGAACTTCCCTTATAAATGTATTTAAATCAAGCGGATGTATTTTATGGGAGACATTCAGTTTATGTATTCAAGAATCCCAGTATGTAAACTTGCAACCAAGTTACTTTTCTAATGAGTATTATTATCTTTAAATATGTCCCAACCACCTAATTTTTTCCTAGTAACTTTTTCATCCGCAAGACGTGTTATTTGGCTATACTCATGATTCAGTATAATCAGGCCCTATTCAGGTTGAAACATGTACATTTATTTAAATTCTAATTCTGGTATGATAAATCACTATTATTTTTTAAATGGATTTGGCATCTTAAATTTAGAGAGAGAAAATGGTTCTTGTGATGGAAAACGTTTTAATTGTTATTGTTGAATATTTGCGTTGGATTTAAATTGCATGTTGTATATAAAGTTCTCAAACTTAAAAAAAAATACGCCCAATTGTATTCAATAAATTTGATAATGCACACTGTGTCATACTGAGGAATGCTCAATACATTTACTAAAAAACTCGATATGTATGTGATTACCAAATTAAATTTTATTAAACAAAATGGCACTAGTTAAGTGAAAGTCCTATGATACCCGATAGAGATATACAACTTTGAATTATTATTTTTGAATCAAGCAAAAATTTTTGAGGAATAACGTTTTCTACTAAAGTTAAAAATAAAAAAGTTTCTTTTTCCGTCCATATGGGGACGTCTATGTTATTTTAGGATGTACATTATAATTTTCAGGTGAAGTGAAATTCTGCATTATTTTTTGCTATACAACTATGCAGCTACACTCTACACAAATATATTGTTTGGACTACATTCTTTATTTTTTAAGATTCCCAAGTATCTCCAGTAAAATAACATTTAAAATTTTATTTTATTCGGATTTTATTATGCTAATAGAAAATGCTGTTTTAAGTATTTTCTCACAATTTAATTTTATTTAGTCTAATTGAGATTATTATACTGTACCTCTCTACACTCAACGTGGAGCTATTAAAAAAAAGTAATTGCTGCTAGTCTTTTTTCTCTAATCTACTTACAATAAAAAGTAAAACATAAACGCTGCAAAAATGAGTTATTTTGGTCACTTAAAAGTAATAGTGGCGTTTCATCAATTTTTTTAAATGTTCTAGAAGCCAAATAATTTTTATTTCAACATCAAATATAAGTTTTATAACAATAGTGCATCACTGCACTTTCATCTTAAATGTTGGTAGCTGAGAAGACATTTTGAAAATATGCGATTGTAATCATGTGATATTTTTATTAAAGTATTATACGTGTGAATTTCTAAATACCAAGCCCCAAGTCTAGATATTGTATATGTGGGTAATCTATTAGTTCGTTTTTTGAAAAGAACTGGAGATTTTGTGGTATGGTATTTTGACTACTTAATTGTTGGAAGCTATTAAGTGTTTAGTTGCAGAAAAATATTGATAAAACTTCATTATCACAAGGGAAAATAACGGCATTATAAACAGTTTTACTAATTAATTTTTTGTAAATGAACAGGAATCCGTACTCTATATTTTTATATAAGTGATTACCGTCCAACATCAATGTATTATACAATCATTAACAAAATGTTTTATTTTAAATTATTCGTTGGAACTCGTATTATTAATAATATTTGTAATGGTCTGTTTTATAATCTTCCATAATGTCTTGTCAATACAAATATGTTTACAAGTTATTTAGAAATAAAAACGATTTTTTCATAATTACTTTTAATAAACACCTAGTCCTCTTATTATCATTGTTTATCAATATATGCGATAGGTTTAGGAAAAATTAAAAGAATGGAAAAAGTACATTCTGGAATAGAATCTACAAGAATGCAGCAGAGATTAACATTTTATTATATCTTGTTATTTCATTAAGCAGCTTGTATAATCAAAATTAACAAAATTGAAACATTCCTCGCTCCCTGCGTGGCGGCAGCGCCATTTTCAATATAATTCGTAATTAAAACAATTATTTTTGGTTTTAATAAAAGTATATTGATTTGTAAAACAAGTAATGAGATTCATTTAATATATATTTGTATTACTCTAGCTAAATAAAAGTATATTTAATAAAAAAAATTATTAAAACATGTACACAGAATAGGTAATTAGGTAAGAGTATTTACGAGAAAGTGACAAATTGCCTAATGAAGTTAACGGTTAATATAAAACGTAGACTCAAATTTTATTCCCAAAAAAATAGTTGTAATATTGTAATGTTTTCGAATGTAATTTATGCTTGTTCTCTTCAATTTCAGTTTAAAAGAAAATAGAATTAATTATTAAATAACTGTTTTCCAATCAATAGATACTTTCGTTACGAAAATAAAGGTTTGTAATTACTTTTCCCTTATTGCAATTATAGGTACGTTTATTTCCATTTTGCTGAAAATTTATAAAATTTACACTATTTTTTTGCTAGTACTTTTACAATTTACAACATATAGCAACTTCGATTGCTCATTGTATTGCTTTTAACGATTTTTTTAAAAAATAAGTAAAATATATACGTATATTTGATACGCCAAAATTACAAGATATCGCCCTAAAAAGCATGAATTATCCGCAGCTAGCGCTAGTATCGCTTTTGCTTCCCATACCATAACCGCACTGAGTGAATAGAAAGGAAGAATGGAAATATGAACAGAAAAGGAAAAGCTACACTACCACTAATAAAAGATTCTCCCAAATTATTTTGAATTGGAGCATTACAGGAGAGGAGAGTCCAATTTACTTATCTATTCTTGATTCTCTGAGAGTAAAAATTTTGAGGAAAGACCGAGACAAAAATACAAATATTGTGCCTTGCAGATAAAGGGGAAAAACCGGTTTTCTGTTCCCCCTAATTAATTTAAGAACAGCTACCCAGATCAATAACTACTAAAGGAAGTGTTGGACCTATACGAGCCCCTTCCCATTTCAGTTGGCCCACCTATTATTGATATTTAGGAAATTCGTATTTAAAGATTAAAAATATAAATACTGCATGAACTTTCATTCAATTTTTATTCGTTGAACAATATGTTTAATATCGTTTAATCGCAAAAAATACGTATAAAACATTAAAATAATTATTTAACATAAAATAAAAAAAATTAAATAAATAGTTGGAATCAAACGATAATCAGACTACTAATACAATCCATAACCTACATAGAACACTAGGCTAATGACCTTAGATGTTGAAGCCGTACACCAAATAAAAAAAAAAAAAAAAAAAAAAAAAAAAATTTTAAAGTTTACCATTGAGTAACGTCACCTTTATTTTTTATTACAGCTGAAATTCTTTGCGACATGGTATTAACTAAGCCTTGGCAAAATTCTGGTGCAAAAGAATCCCATTCCAAAAGTGGGATACCAAAGTCTTCCATCTATTTTAGGGGTTTCTTTGACGTGTGACATCCTGCTCCATCCTGTTGAAATACAAAATCTTTCCCTGATGTCAAATATAATTCCATAGTCGGTAAAAGTGATTCCTCCAAAATGTCCAAATATTTATTTGTATTTACAATTCCTTTAATAAAATGCAGTTTCCCTATTCCTTTCGATGACAAGACCGATGCAATAAATTTTACTTTTCTTTTGAGACAGTCTGGATGAAACGCCTCATGTTTTTTGCGAATAACTCGACTTCTGCTGTCTCCAACACAAACTTCGAATCGGGCCTCGTCACTCCATTGCATTGCATCCCATTGATGAGAAGTCCTAGTCATAAGGACTTTTACCCATCTTAATCGATTTTTGCAGTTAGTAGTGATTTTTGTTTAACCTGTAACAATATTGTCAATTTTAAGCAAACATATTTGATTGTTTAAGTGTGTTCAATTCATTTATTTTATTGTTTTTATTACTATAAACTTGCTTTGTAAGTCCCAAATCCCAGTTTGCGAGCTTCCCTATGACATGAAGATCTTAAAATTCGTCTTCCAACAGCATCACTCCACTGAGCACTTAATTCAAGGTAATTAGCACGACGGTTGGTTTCAATAATTCTTCTGAATGCTCGTCTATCAGCATTTGTAATCTTATTTTTTCTAATATGACGGGGCTTTGGACTGATTGAACCAGTAATTCTGTATCTTCTAACTAAATTTCTTACATTATATATGATAAAACTAATATATTTGCAATTTCCGAGTTCGATTTTCTAGAATTGCAATTTTTATAACAAGAAAACGTATTTTTTCGTCAATGATTTTTCCTCCACCCATTTTACTAGACAGGATTAGCTTAAAAAAGGTTAAATTGTCTTGTGACAGTTATCTGCATTATTTGTTGCGTTTGAGAATCCACATCGGATGCATTTTTTACATCTCGAGCGTTTTTTTATCCACATCGGACACATCTGTCCCATTACATTTACGTATAATGAATCACGTGATCAAAGATTTTTTACATCATTTGCTGCGTTTGAGAATCCACATCGGATGCATTTTTAACATCTCGAGCGTTTTTTTATCCACATCGGACACATCTGTCCCATTACATTTACGTATACTGAATCACGTGATCAAAGATTTTTTACATTTCAGATGCATCCGATGTGGATTCTCAAACGCAGCATCAGATGCATCCGATGTGGATTCTCAAACGCAGCAATTGTATGCACATAGATTAGGTCTTTTCCTTTGCATCGAAAGTGTAGGACCGAGCTACACCACTTCTGAAAATATCGTTCCATTTATACAAATTGTATGGATGGAACAATATTTTCAGAAGTAACGTAACTCAGTGCTACACTTTCGATGCAACGGAAAAGACCTATATTTGCTGCGTTTGAGAATCCACATCGGATGCATTTTTTACATCTCGAGCGTTTTTTTATTCAAATCGGACACATCTGTCCCATTACATTTACGTATACTGAATCACGTGATCAAAGATTTTTTACATCTCAGATGCATCCGATGTGGATTCTCAAACGCGGCAATTGTATGTTATTTTTTCAAAGCTACCTTCGATTCTGGCTTATTTTCTAACGAATTGAATTCAAGTTGAAATATTGCAATAATGCTTCATGTGTTAATAAATATAAAAATAACTAAAAAAGTTAATGTTTTCTAGTTCTGGTTCCATTATAATTCTAAATTGATACATTTTTCATTAATTTATGATTTAAAAAAGCATGTAATCTTTAATTCTTTCTTATTGTCGTTATATAATGAAAATATCAATAGGTGGGCCAACTGAAATGGGAAGGGGCACGTATACTTTTTCCAAGAATATGATTCTGGCCTATACTTTAATTATTAATTTAGTAAACTTATCTAATGTTTACACATTACTATGGTAATTTTAGTTTAATTGCAATCATACACAATTTGATTATTGATGGCTATTTTTGCTAAAAATTAGGCAAATGGAATTTAAAAATAAACTTGTTTCAATGAATTATTACAGAACAATAAATTTTGTTTGTGTAGAAAAATATTAAAATGAATAACAATTATTGTATTTAATATACATATTAAAATGACACATAATCTAAGGGTTGTTTAATAAAAAATTGAAACTTAAGTATTTCTCATTAATAATGCTAATCCTACTAATATATAGACCAGAGCATACTGGCGCATTCGTTTGCAAAATTGTTTTAATTCGTAATTTTTTTTTTAAATGGCCCGGAAGGCTTTCCTGATTATAAAAGTGTAAGATGACACTCGATATCTGTTGATGTTATTGTTTAAACAACGAAAAATTAAATAAGCGAAAAAATGCATTTTTTGCAATGAATTAATTTTTTTTATATTCTTTAGGATATTTCGAATAAAAAAGTCCTTACGCCCATCATCGTATCTTCAACCCATTAATTGTTATGAATTTTTTAAAATCCAAAATTGACGAAAATTCTAATTTTCTTGAATTAAATAATATACCTTAAAATTTATAATGCTATAATTTTAAATTTTTTACCGAATATTCAAACTATAATAAACAAAATTACCTAAATAAATTTTCAAAATTTTGTTTGTTGTTTTTTTTTACGTTATAACAATATGCTTCCTACGCGCGTGTACTTTTAGAGAGAAGTACTTCTATCTCACTTCCAACTCAATGTATAAGATGGGTAAGAGAAAGCCCGATGACGCGCTAAATCAATTTTTTGCTGTTTTTCAGCGGTAATAGTTTAAAAAAATTATTAACATTTTTCATAACACTTTGTTATATTTGCCGATTAATAGTTTTGTATCATGTGATTTTTTTTTACTTTTTTAGATACTTTCGATAACTTTTTTATTCATTGAAGTTAATAGAAATGTTCCATCCACAAAAAAAAATCATTGCCAAGAGCTGTCTAAAAAATAAATTTTTCTCACTTTTTTACTTTCCTATCTGTATACAGATATAAGGAAAGTATAGGAATCATGATTTTTTTCGACCTCGAATTTTCGACGGATTTTTACGTTTTGAGGTCCCCTGAATCCATTTTGACTATTTTCGCGATGATGTCTGTGTGTGTGTCTGTATGTAGCATAACTCATGATCCGATACACAGAAAAACACCAAATTTTAAACTTAAGCTTTATTCCAGCGTTTTATGAAATTATTAGATTTTGGGCAGAGTCTGAACATCTTGGGGGGGTACTTTATAGGTAGTCATTTTTATATTTTATGGAATATATCTGTTAT